TTGTAATTTAAATGACTTTAATTAAAAATGTACCGATGCTTTAAAATTAATTTTTTTAACTTTTTTTATTTGATTTTCTGAATTTTCTTCACAACTGTACACGTGGACCCCACGCAAGGTCACCTGCTTTCCTTTCCTGTGCATAATTCTTTCCTTCCCAATCCGTAATCTCAGTTACCAAAAGCCGAAACACACAAAAGACCAAAAGCCCGGCGCCAATGTCGAAGCGGAGCTACCATCACTTGACGGATCTCGGCTGCATCGCCGGTGAAGACTTGTCCGAGTTCGGCGCTGGCAAGGAAGGATGGCTAGCCCCCGACGCCAGCACCACTCTCCTCTGTGCTCTCGACGCCCATTCTCTCGCCATCGCTAACCGATCACTTATTCTCATCCTCGGATGGTCCGACGCGGATGAGCCTCGGGTCCAGATCCGTCCCGAACTGTCACCTATCGAGGTCGAGCACATCACGGCCATAGAGTGGCTGGTTTTCGATGAGATTAAAGTGATTGCAGTTGGGACCTCTCGAGGGTTCATCTTGGTTTACTCTTTGCGTGGTGATTTGATTCATAGACAGGTAACTTTTCTTTTTAATTTTTTTTTCTTTTTTGAGCTTGGTTTGGTTGTTATTGGTATTTGCTTGAAAGGTTGCTTTAAAGCAAAATTATGTAATTGATTAAATGAACTTTCACTGGAATATGATGTTAATTACTTCATATAAAAGTATAATTATGCATTTCGAATATCTAAATAATTTAAATTTTCATTTTTAATTCTTCAAAAATGATTGCTTTTTTGTGTTTTGCTTCCAGAAGCACAATAAAAATACTAGCTTGATGTATTTCAATTTAAGGAATGCTGGATTTATTTATGTGTCTAGTTTTTTAGTTTTACCTTCAATTTAATATTTTAACTTCAACGGATGATACAGTTGTGTTTTGTAGACGAACATAAATGGTGTGTTTTGTAGATTTTCATGTACACTTATAGGTTGTATGTCGGATGAAGTCTTCTTGTGTTAACATTAATTAGATTTAAACGTTATTAGGTTGAGATCAGTTAGAGATAAATCATTGTTGGAATGGTGAACTCATTTGTTTAATATTTGATTTTAGATGGTGTATCCAGGACGTATCGTAAAGTTAAGAGTCCGTGGAACTAAGAAAGATCTGACACAAGATATATCTTCGGAGGAAGTTTGTGTTGTCATACCTGGTGTAATTGCTCGTTTTGATGGGTCTGATATAAAGGTGAGTTCCTGCTTAAATGTGTAATAGTTATTCAGGAACATGGTAAGAACTGCCTGTTTATCTGATGCAGAAGCAAAGCATTAGATTTATGTATATTTTGGACTTGTTTTGCTAACTTAGATGACTCCCCTCTGGTAATGTAGAGTATGCTTCAAAGGTGGTTTCAAGAAACACATTCTCGTTTTTGGGATCAGAAACCAAAGAAAGATTCAGAGGATGTAGGAAACTCTTATGGGAGATTACCTTACCAGTTATGGAATGTTAATAAGTATGGGACATGTGTTGAGGCCGCAATCACTGGCATAATGCCACCCCCTCTTATGGAACTCCAGGTGATTTTTAATGTTGCTTAATCGTATTAGCTCATGCTAACAGTTGAATAATTTATTTTTCAATTCTTAATTAATGGCCATTTGATCTTCAAAATGTGAATATGAAAAACTGGTTTTACTGGTTCAATATTTTGCTCATTATAGTACATATTATTTGTGCTTTTGTTTGTTTTGCCAATGAATTATGGAAGCTTTCTGAAGTTATTCTGGTATTTGAATTCAGCTGCTTTTATTGTTGGGCAGTCAAATCAACGTTACTATTGTGCAGTCACCATTGGAGATGATGCTGTGATCTCAGCTTTCAGGTTAGTTTCTTCCCATTTTGAAATATAATATGATTTATATTTCATTACAAGACGGGATTCTTGCATGGGTAGTTTCTCTTTTTCTTTTCTTTTGGTGCTTTATTGATAAACTTTTGTTTAATTATGTTGAAGACTTTCAGAAGATAGGAGCCGTTCCTTGGTAGGAGCTATTTTGTCAAAAGTTGTGCCTGCAACATTTTCCACAATTGCATCTTTTTCTAAAATGATATGGCGGAGTGAACAAACGCCAAAGAGGAAGTCAGAAGAGAAGCCTCAATCATTTGCTCGAGGTGAAGTTTGTTAAACTTGTATATTATTCCTCCTTTGGTTCTGCTATTATCTTCTCCATGGTATTTAAATTATGTAGTGTTAATCTCTAAAAATATCTGCTTGTTTCAAAATTCATGTATACTTATAATTATTCTAAACGAAATATTTTCTTAGATTCAAATTTTTAGGTGATTGAAGCTGAGTTACATTGGTCAGGAGTGTTTGCTGTTGCTGAGATCATTTAACTGATCTTTAGTTCTCAATTTTCCTTTGGTACTATCACAAGATTTGTGGCAACAGTCTCATTATTAAGCATGTAACCTCTGCTTGCATGTTTCTCTGATTATTGTATTTAGTAAGTCTTTTTATAATTTTTTATTGTCATCCTTGCTACATGCTTATATTTCCTGTTCAACTATGGGCTTACACCAAAAGAGTTCATCTTAGCATGTTCTGATGTGCAATTAAATATCTAAGTGGATAGAGAGAGTATTAATTATTTAAGAAAGAACTTTTCTGTTTCTATCATATTCTGAGACAAAGAATGTTACAAATTCATTGCGTCTTTTGATGTGTTCTGAATATTAACACACTTAGTTAGCATACAAACCTTAGCCACTTTCTTAGTTCTCTTTATTAAGGCTTTTCCAAAACCTGTTGAATATGTTATTGATGTCATGATCTTTTTCCCAGCTTCTCCTTTGACATGTTTGAAGGATCACCCAAGAAAAGGTGAAAAGCTCACCTTATCACCCAGTGGCACTTTGGCTGCTATTACAGATTCACTTGGTCGTATATTGCTCTTAGATACTCAGGCACTTGTAGTAGTGCGACTATGGAAGGTTTCTTCTGCATCTATGGTTTTCAATTTCTTGAAAAGCAACAGCTCCTTTTTCCTTTTCGGTAAGCAGTTTTCCTAATACACTCTTCAGGGATATCGTGATGCAAACTGCTTCTTCATGGAAATGTTAGTCCATAAGGAGGCTATAGGGTCAGGTTCCTCTTACCATGAACCAGGAAAGAGTGACTACTGCCTCTGTTTAGCCATTCATGCACCTCGAAAAGGAATTGTTGAGGTGTGTTCATGTTTCTTTAAAGTGTTTCTTATTATTTCTTTATTGTTGTGCTTGTTGTTAGGACATTGAAAATCTATTTTTATATATGGCCATGACGGAAGAGCAGGAATAGTCAGTAGCATTTATTGTCACAATGATAACAATGCATTACCATTAAGCAGTGGGCCCATATCATCTAGCCTCGATGCTTAGGGGGGGGGGGGGGGGGGGGGGGGGGGGGTGCATAGGGCGCATACAAGTGGACCCTTGCACAATAGATAGTTGGGATTGATATGTACGGAATATAGTGAATAATTGTGGAAATGAATTGATGTCTTAGTCTAATTGTGTGGAAATAATTGTGCAAACCGATTGACAGATTACCTAAACTATGTTCACTCCATAAAGAAAACATCCTCGTTGATCCTTTCACGAGTGGATTCGATGTTGTAAACTAATTTTTCCTCTTATCAGAGATGCATTTGACAGATTTCTGGCTTTGCTGTTGTAGATTGAGTCGTGTCATTGGAGAGTGGAAACTATACTACTTTCCTAGATGGTTTTCTTTATGCAGCTCTTAGAACTTCATTTAGTAGAGCAAACGTTTAGCGTTATATTCCAGTCAATGTTTACTTGACCACATCATGCACAGGTCTGGCAGATGAGAACCGGACCTCGTCTCCTAACCATCCAGTGTGCTAAAGGTTGCAGATTGTTACAGCCAACTTACCGGTTTGGATCATCATTGGACTCTCCTTATGTTCCTCTGGAAGTTTTTTTGTTAAACGGAGACTCTGGTCAACTGTCAGTGTTGAATCGCATTCTTAATTGAATATAATTTTACATAGAAAGTTCATTCTTTGTTCTGTATTTCATTTCTTCGCCTCCATCTCTGTTTGTTTCCTCTGTGACTGCAAATTAAGGTGCCGTAAAATGTATCTCTGTTTGTTTCCTCTGTGACTGCAAATTAAGGTGCCGTAAAATGTAAATTGTAGAAAGAATGATGGTACTAATCATGCCTCCTTTTATTTTCACACAGACAATAAATTGGAAAAAAAAAACCAGCTTAATTTGATAAAGAAACATGACTTGGTTTTTTGTCGATTAATGATAATTTTTAGATTTAACTTTGTTCTAATGGATGCATAGGCACTAGTTCAGTAACTTTTCAGGCAAGCTCAAGTCGTTAGTAGTGGTTGATTTGAATCATTGTATAAGTCTTAACAATCATTTTTACATTAGATGTGGATTTAATAATTTTTTATGTTTAAATTACATGATTTTCAAAAATTCAAACTCTAAGTTGTTATTCGTTTTCAAATCTAAATCAGATGTGGGTCTAATAACTTTTTAAGTTTAAACAATGTGGCTTTCAAAAATTTAAATCTCAAATTATTAGTAGATTTTAGGCTTAAATCTAGTGGCCTTCAAAAGGGTAAGTTTAAGTTGTTAATAATGATTGGTTTGGATAGTTATGTAAGTTTTAACAATTATGAATTATATTCATATCAAATGTGGCACACGTTACAATCACGATCAATGTGCATTTAACATAATCATGATCTCACTACTGTAATGTGAGAGTTTATATCGGATTGACACATGCTTTGATACTATTTGTAATGATCTAAGTCCAAATATTGATTTGGTGACTTTTTAAGTATAAATCATGCGAAAAGTTCAAGTTTAAGTTATTAATAGTAATTGATTTGGATCGTTATATAAGTTTTTATAATCACATTTATATCAAATGTAAAATGAGGAATTACAAATTTAATTATATTGACTAACTTTGATTAAAAATATTTTTATTAAAAATATAATAATATTTATCTCATTTGGAAATAAACTACTTAATATTGTAGCTGGAACGGGACACAAATCAAGATGGTGTTAACTATGATACGATGCATGCAGGATCGATTGCACAGCATTGCAAAATGAAGTTCTGACTTGCTTTTTGACATGAATTCTTACTTTTGACCTATCTCTCTATATTTTTGGAAAAAAAGAAAAAGAAAAAGATATCTTTAATTTCTGATGATGATCCCAAAATGTGAAGATCATTATAATTTCTTAAAGTTACTTTGACGAAGACCTGAATCATCTGTAATCTACAATAAAGAGTTCCTTTATGTAATACTTTTTTATTTTTATTATCACATCAAGTGAGTTAAAAAGTAGTGAGTTACAATTCTAAGATGAATTAGTTTTGTATCTCTACTGTGATTTGGATCTAATGGGCATATCCCAATAAGCATAAAATAAAAGTAGACATCAAATGAGAAATCAAGAAAAATATGCAAATCCTACCAACGTCTCAGATGGGATAGGACACAGCGGCCTTGATGCTTTTTCATCTAACAGAGGACATACAATTTTCCTTTTTATTCCATTAATTTAATTTTGAAAATTTTAGAGATTTTGCAAAGCCCTGTTGGTTGACTTGAAAAGGAAATGTCTCCACTTCACCTCCCTAGCTTGCTCTTTTTCGACTGCCGTTGTTTCATAACTTCCTTTTTCTCGAGAAAATATGGGAAAGGCAGTTAGCATGTTGTGTCGAATCCTTTTCCTGCTTTTAGCGTTCTTGCATTTCCAGGTCCTTTGTTCATTGAGTTTCTCTTCCTCTTTTCTTCATTCACCTCATTTGTGCCTCCCAGAACAGAGGGCCGCCTTGCTCGAATTCAAAAACACCATTTCTCTGGCTGATTATTGTGATGATTACCCAAGGACAAATTCTTGGAATGAAAGCACGGATTGCTGTTCATGGGATGGAGTCAGTTGCCACATGGTGACGGGTCATGTTACAGGCATCGACCTCAGTGCCAGCTGCTTTAACGGTGCTCTCACTGCAAACGACAGCTTCTTCCACCTTCAAGGACTTCAACGACTCAACTTTGCTGAGAACCATTTCAATGGCTCTATCTCATCGGAGTTGTTTAATCAGTTAGTGACTTTGACCCATCTTAATCTTTCTTCTAATTCATTCTCTGACTTAATCCCATATGAAATCAGTCTCCTGTCAAACTTGGTTTCACTCGATCTTTCCAAAAATGGTTATTACCACTTGAGATTTGATGGTCAAGGTTTTGACATGCTTGCAGGCAACTTAACCGAATTGCAAAACCTTATCCTTGATTTTGTAGATATGCCTGATGTTGCATCTCCTTCCTTTCTGAACTTGACATCATCTCTGGAACACTTGAGTCTCAGATATTGTCAACTACATGGGGAATTTCCAAGTGATGTTTTTCGCCTTCCATACCTCCAGCACATAAATTTAAGTTATAATGAAAATCTCACAGGTTATCTCCCTAAGACAAACTTGAGTCTTAGAGGGTCAATTCCAGCATCATTGGGAAATCTCACTCAAATCATCTCCCTAGATATTTCTTATAACAATTTTGGAGGACAGATTCCAGATGCTTTTGGAAACCTTAATAAATTGACTTCTTTGTCATTTTCTTATTGTAATTTTACTGGTCAACTTCCGTCAACTATGTTCAACCTCACACATCTTACCAATCTAGATTTGTCATATAATCGAATAGAAGGTCCCCTGCCAAATCATGTTAGTGAGCTTCAATTGCTAGGAGAAATTCTCTTATCCGGTAACCTTATAAGTGGTGGAGTACCATCTTGGCTGTTTACTTTGCCATCTTTGAGATGGTTAGGTCTGAGCTGTAACAAACTTACCGGTCCAATTGACCAAATTCAGAAGCCTAATTCTCTTGAACATATTGATTTGAGTTCTAATGACATTCATGGATCAATACCCAATTCTTTCTTTGATCTTGTGAGTCTTGACACGCTTGATCTTTCCTCAAACAACTTCAGTGGTGTCATCAAGTCAAATATGCTTGCAAAACTCAAAAATCTTTTGTTTCTTTATCTTTCAAATAATAGTTTACTATCATTAAGCGCAAGCGAAGATGATGTTAACTATTCCTTCCTTCAGCTTGTTAAAGTGTCATTCTCTTCTTGTAGCATAACACAATTCCCAAGTTCTTTCGAACATCAAATTTGGAGAGTTTAGATCTTTCCAATAACAAGATTTGTGGTGGAATTTCCAAATGGGAAGCAGAAGGGTGGGAAAGCTTGCTCGTGTTGGACCTTTCTAACAACTCTTTGACCAATTTGGAGCAAGTTCCATGAATGAATCTTCGATTTCTTGACCTTCGGTCCAACTTGCTTCAAGGGCCAATTCTGTCAAATCCTTTGATTTGCAATCAAAGTTCGCTTGTGTTTCTTGACTTGTCTAGAAATTACTTGACTGAAACCATTCCAAATTATCTTGGAAATTTCAGCATTTTGCTGGAGTTCATGAATTTGGAGATGAATCATTTTTATGGCAAAGTCCCTGATTCGTTTACAAATGATCAGTTGAGTTATTTTCTCCTTAATGACAACCAATTGGAAGGATTACTGCCACAGTCTTTGGCTAATTGTAGTTCCTTGAAACTTTTGAATTTAAGGAACAACAGGTTTACTGATACCTTTCCCCATTGGTTAGCTTCACTTCCTGAGCTACAAATTCTTCTTTTGCGAAATAATAGATTGTATGGTC